CTGAGCTATGTATTCCTACCCCAGTTCTCCAGAATCAAGCCAGTTCTTTACCGATTTTTTTTGGGGCAGAACCCATATGAGCACTGCCTCAAACGGTTTGGGATTCGCTGCAATGGTGCCATAGCAGTGGAAAAGGATGTCGAAAGCAAGCTGAAGGAGCTCCAGATCTCGGTTTACAGCCCGCTTGTCAGTGAGCTTCTTAAAAGAATCTTGTTGAAAAAGGTTCCTTGACAGAAAGCGCTAACCAGAAGTCAATTAATTCTAGAACTGGGAACACATCCCGCTAGGGCTAATTTTTAGGTAACAGGGTATGCATTCGAATTCGCACCTGATCTGCTGCAATCAGAGAATAGCACGATACGCGACGCGACCGCGACAATGCTGAAACAAGTATCAGTAATTCGCTGTATTAATTTAGTACAACTCGTGAGTATTGTCTATACTACCCTGCGACAGGGGGTCGTGCCGGTACGAGCATTTTTTCCGTAGCACTCTTAATGTCCTGTGCTCAGCAAAAAAATTCTGCACATTTTTTTGCGCTCTTCTTCAATATCGCTTTGAGCCACGCCCACCTCTGAAAGCCATAAAAGAGCATCGCCGCTTCAGCGGTAGTTGTCTGACCTGGTCGGGAAGGTTGAAAAAAAACCTGCATTATTGGTAAAAGTATTCGCGGGAGGGGTTGACGTGTGTGACCACCTCCGGCAGGACCAGAATGTGAAAGATACTGATACGGTATAATTATCAAAGATGCTAGCGCTCTGCAACACTTCTCTCCAAACACACTGCACGGGTGGTCAACAAAATTGATGACAAGTTATATATGGGGGTTATTTGACAATCTGTCTGCAAAAATGAAGTCCATTATTGATGTCGGGCTAATGGAGGACGAGCTATGGTTAGGGACTTACAAGGGAGGTCGTTCAGGGCGTGGTGTGCTTTTTTGAAATGCTCTTGTGCATATTGTAGGGGCACATACGAGGACCAGAAAACTGAGGTTCATTTTCGCTGCGCGCTTCTACGAATAAAAAAAACGTAAAAATAGGTCAATGGTTCGGATCCCACCGAGGACAAAATTTTGCTTTTCTGCAAATTTTCATTGTTTGGATCCATGTTTGTCTAAATAATTGATCCTAACAAAAACATTCACGATAAACTATTTTTTGCCGACTTTTTTCTGCGAGGGCAGAAACCCATACGAGCACTCTCGAAACGGTTCAGAATTCGCTGTCATTCGCATGTAATAAAAAGTAGTTGTAATAGTAGTAGTAAGATAGTAATGGAAAAGGATGTCGCAAGTGAGCTGAAGGAGTTACAGATCTCATTGTTCTTACAGCTTGCTTTTCAGCGAGCTCTTAAAAGAATCTTATTGAAAAAGATTTCTTGAGAGAAAGCGCTGACCAAAAGTCAATTAATTTAGAATTGGGGACACATCCCACTAGGGCAAATCGTGGGTAATAGGGCACGACATCGAGTTCACCAATCTGATCTGCTGCAATCTGAGAAGACGCACGATACGCGACGCGACGCCAACGATGCTGAAACAAGTAGCAGAAATTCGCTTAATTAATTAGTGACAGCTCGTGATTGAAGGACAGTATTGTCTATACCACCTCGCGACAGGTGGTAGTGCCATACGATCATTTTTTCCATAGCGCCCTGAATGCCCTGAGCGCAGCAAAAAAAATTCCGCCACATTTTTTTTTCTGCGCTCTGCTTCAATATCGCTGCGAAGCCACGCCCACCTCTGAAAGCTATAAAGAGCATCGCCGCTTCAACTATGAAGATCGAAGTGATACAAGCTACAGAAATAAGCCCACAGATGAGCTATGACTTACGCCAATACTATAATCAGAGAGAAAAATGCAGCTTGAGCCAGAAAAAAGGGGATACGTCGTGATGAGAAAATAAAAGACAAAACAATAAAGACAGCAAAATAGCAAAGTAAAATCAACTCACAACATTGTCAAAGTCTACAGATGGAGATTTCACTTCCTGGTGACAGTATTCGACGTCATCCTCGGTCTTTGCGGGACGAAACAAAAAGAAGAGTAGCACAGCGATTAAAGTAAGAAATAACAGCACCAACACAGCCACTCCAAGCAGTATGGTCCTCCTAAAAGGAGCGAAATCAATGAGAACCAGCTCTAAGAGGGCTCCCATGAAGTCTTCAGTAACACATTTTTAGCCACGTTACGATAAGCATTCTCCTCTCTCCTCACAGAAAAATGTAATTTTACGGGACAAATAACCATTTTGAGGTTCCTGTTTAATTCCTTGAGGTAAACGGGCGGTATGCCAAGGACATAAAAGCTGAATCACGCGGACCCTACCTAGCATAAGTAGATGCCAACTTTATTCCTTGAAGACACTCTGTACATCAACCTCCGCGCATCCTGCTCCTTATCATGTGTGAGATGAGTGGAGCTGCAGCAACAGCGCCCACTTTCCCCGCTTGAAAGTGCACGGGAACGGGACTGGAGGATAGTGGTGACCAAGTGCCGTCTCTACACCTCGCCAGCGCTGCCAACCACACGCCTAACCATAGCCAAACGCGCTACTTGTCTGCGCACTCTCACTCTGCATGTTCTCTATAGCTGTGTGTCCCGCTGCGGGACCTTGGCATCGACCCAAGGGCTGCATGTGAGGATAACGCGGGTCGGCACTCGGGTTCCGCCACCCTACAGACGCGTTCCTATGAAACCGCATAAGAAAAGGACCGTTCTCAGAGTGTGAGTACATACTACAAAGGTAAATCTGGTCGTCTGCGCTCTACGCCTACACCTGGACTAATGAAGGGGCAGCAGAGGCGCTGCTAACTCAACTATGTTAGCACCGGTGCACGATTACTTCCATTGTTTTCCAATGTACTGTTTGGGCTACATAAGATTTCACGTACATTTTAGGAGAAATCTTCCGGTGTGAAGCATTTTATTGACAGATGAAAAGGAATTTGTACTTGCCATTTTGTGCAGAAAGTTGGCTCCAAATGGCTTTGAGCAGCAATGCATGGATCCAGTTCGGATGTCTCAAGTTTATGCGTTTTATAATCATTCCTATTATCCCTCATGATTTTTGGATGTCGTTAGAGGGCTAAAAGCACTTGAACAATAACTTTTACGAAAAGCATAAACATTTACCGGCACGGCAAATAAGCCCAAGAGACCAGAAATGTACAAAAGACACCAAGTGAATGTGCAAGTGCCCTGGCTGCATTACAATGGAGATCAGAAGCAAAAAATATTTGAAAAGAAAAAACGCATGGGCAACAAAACTTATGATGGCTGAATAAAAGCAAACACAACAGATGACAGAAAATGGCGGAAGCGACAATGGCGCATTGGGAGTCATGTAACCTTTCGAGTTTCTTGCACAGGTCCAACTGCGAAAGGAAAATGCGGAGGCGAATGAGGATGGCGTGTCAAAGCACAGAATGGTGCAAAAGTATGAGGTGTAGTTCATGGCGTCTGAGGCGCGGCAGTGCACTCAAATTAACAGAGACATTCCCTAAACGGACGACTTTACGCGCTGAAATATTGCCAACTGCAACGTCCATCGTACATAGCTCACACGAAGCGATCTGTGGGTTGCTTTTTGGCGCAATCATTCTGCCACCGAGGTGACAAAACCTTTCTGGCAAAGTGCCTCCTAGGAAAAACAACTTGTCCAAAAATTTGAAGACAATGATTAATGCACGGTGTATCTCCCGCGCTCATCGTCAGGCGAGGCGCCGCGCGCGACGGTGCAGCGAATTACGATTCTCTTGCCCGTCTTCCGCAGCGAGCCTCTTATGGATTTCCACGTGGAAAGGGTGCCAGGCCAGACAGCAGCACGTTTCGTCGCTGATCACGCCCACCAGCGCGACAGGTTGCGGTTGTCTTGTTACACACCCCTCACCTATGGTGGTATTGTTCAGAGGACAAAGTTCGAGAGTTTGTAGACCCATAGGGATTTGTGCTGGGACCAATTATGAACGACTGAACGGCCACGCCACGATGGAGAAGAAAACTATCATGCCCTACAGCAATTTATACATGAAAACAGTGCCATACCAAACGCGTCAGTTGAACCAGCCTCGGCGCTAAGATAAGCCTACAAATAACACTACTGAGATCGAAGCACTGTTTATTGAGAGGAATTTCTACAGTCTCTATCTTCGACATATTGAACTATTCCTACTCCAGTCCTTCGGAAGCAAGCCAG